AAGCCACAAATGGCTTTGTACACCTTTCTGCTTGGGATATGTTATGTAGTTTGCTCTTTTCTTCATCCCTGATAGCATGCTGGAGTTTGTCGAGCCGTCTGAGGGGGTGCAATTGGGGATGAAATTAAAAAAAAAATCACAGAAGCCACAAATGGCTTTGTACACCTTTTTACTTGAGATGCGTTATGAAGATAGCTATTTTCTTTATGCCTGATACCATGCTGGAGTTTGTCGAGCCGTCTGAGGGGGTGCAATTGGGGGTGAAATTAATCAAAAAATCATAGAAGCCACTACTGGCTTTGTACACCTTTCTGCTTGGGATATGTTATGTAGTTTGCTCTTTTCTTCATCCCTGATAGCATGCTGGAGTTTGTCGAGCCGTCTGAGGGGGGTGCAATTGGGGATGAAATTAAAAAAAAATCACAGAAGCCACAAATGGCTTTGTACACCTTTTTACTTGAGATATGTTATGAAGATAGCTATTTTCTTTATGCCTGATACCATGCTGGAGTTTGTCGAGCCGTCTGAGGGGGTGCAATTGGGGGTGAAATTAAACAAAAAATCATAGAAGCCACTACTGGCTTTGTACACCTTTCTGCTTGGGATATGTTATGTAGTTTGCTCTTTTCTTTATCCCTGATAGCATGCTGGAGTTTGTCGAGCCGTCTGAGGGGGTGCAATTGGAGATGAAATTAAAAAAAAATCACAGAAGCCACAAATGGCTTTGTACACCTTTTTACTTGAGATATGTTATGAAGATAGCTATTTTCTTTATGCCTAATACCATGCTGGAGTTTGTCGAGCCGTCTGAGGGGGTGCAATTGGGGGTGAAATTAAACAAAAAATCACAGACACCACAAATAGCTTTGTACACCTTTCTGCTTGTGGCTTCTATGATTTTTTGTTTAATTTCACCCCCCAATTGCACCCCTCAGACGGCTCGACAAACTCCAGCATGGTATCAGGCATAAAGAAAATAGCTATCTTCATAACATATCTCAAGTAAAAAGGTGTACAAAGCCATTTGTGGCTTCTGTGATTTTTTTTTTAATTTCATTTCCAATTGCACCCCCTCAGACGGCTCGACAAACTCCAGCATGCTATCAGGGATGAAGAAAAGAGCAAACTACATAACATATCCCAAGCAGAAAGGTGTACAAAGCCATTTGTGGCTTCTATGATTTTTTTTTAAATTTCACCCCCAATTGCACCCCCTGAGACAAAGCAAAAGTTAATTGCGGGTATGGTTGCTGTGTATTGAAACCTCCCCAATTGAAATCTACAAATGAAAAGCCTCTACAGGTAATTTGAACCAAGTTATATGACTATTACGATAGAGTTATATTTTTCTCAGTGTACATTTGTGGATGTGGATAACTTCACACCCGTCATAGTTATTTAGTTTGTGAAGTAAAATGTTATGGGAAACGGTATCAAATTCTTTGGCCAAATCAAGAAATACTGCAGCACATTTTAATGATTCATCTACAGCGCTAACCGTCTTTTCCAAAAAATCAACTACCGCATTTTCAGTGCTTGAGTTTTGTATAAAACCGTATTGACAATCTGTAATAACAATATGATTATGAAAAAAATTAATTAATCTACTTTTACTGCATTTTCAAAAATTTTAGCGAAGTTGTTGATAACAGAAATTGGCCTATAATTTGTAAGCTCACTAGGGTCTCCGGATTTGTATACAGGTGTGACAATTGATTCCTTCCATTGACTTGGAATTTTTCCTGATTGAAAGCAAATATTAAGGATATGAGTTACAGGAAGAATAATATATTCATTTATATTTTTTATTGTAGTTGCTGTTAATTTATCTGGACCAGGTGCAGAGCTATTTTTTAATTTGCTTAGTTACTTCATTTTTTGTTACGGGTTTAAAGAATATGTTGTTTTCAACTTTATCATTTTTAAGAAAGTTTACTGCTGGTACTACCTTATGTATTTTATTTGCCATATTTTCACCTAATTTGTAAAAACTCTTCAGCTTTTTCTTTGTTATTGTTTATATTATCATTATTTTCTGATTTTATAGATATGTTTTCAATTTGCTTAGTTTTTTTTGTACTACCTGTCATGTCATTAATGATTTTCCATATTTTTTTATAATCGTTTTCGGCTTGTGTAATTTTATTTTGATAATAGTCATTTTTTGTTTTTCTTATTAAGGAATGAAGTTTGTTTCTGTAATTTTTATACTGGTTTTCAAGTTCTAGTATTTTTCTGTTAGTTTTTTTTTAGAGAGTCTCTATTTTTTATTGAAAGTATTAAACCTGTTGTTATCCATGGTTTTAGTTTAATTATATTTTTGTTTTAATTGTAGATCTAGTGCATTTTTGAATTTGTTGATTTAGCTTATTGAAAAATAAATCGTATGCTTTTTGTGGTTCAGCCGTATTAATTACATCATTCCAATTTTCTCTGCTTAAACAATGTTTTAGATTATCAAAATTTATTATGGTCACTTTGTTTTTTGATTGGGGTTCCTCATTTTTTTGTGTAGGAAAAGATATTAGTATAATAGGAGAATAGTGATCTGTCATATCTGTGTAAAATATAATTGGCTCAAGTTCGACGTTTTTTATTAGGTTTTTATGAGTTCTAATAAAAATATGATCAATGGCAGTTTTTGACTCATTTTGTACTCTCATTGGTTTATTTATATATGATTTAAAACCTTTGGAATTCATTATATTTAAATATTTGTTTGTTTCGTTAGTTTCTTTTTTTAGTATATCGATGTTTATATCACCTATTTTACCTTTTTATAATAAATCGACATATTTTTAAAACCTTGGAGATTCTTTTATCTATTTAGTGTTTTTTTAATACATGCTCCAAAGTTGCTATGCTATGATTTATGTAAAACATATTAGCTCCAAAATATGCAGACCCTTTTAAAATTTAGATTCCCCATTCGATGACACTCGGTATATTACTATTAATTCCATACTAACCTGCATTTACGCTTGCCAGTGCTTCTCGATTTAAAAGTTTTCCCTCCTTTTATAGTTCAGTAACTAAAGGGACCAACCTGTCATTAAGTCGGTCCAGATTTCCGTTGTGGCTCAACTCTTAGGTCTCGGCGGTCGCTTCCAAGGTCGAAAACTTTTACCAACTCTGCTGCGTCGGAAAGGGCCCAAAATGGACCCGAAAACTGGTTTCCCGCCAATATCTTCCACAATATGCAAATTAGAGAATTTTTGTTTAGATAAAAAAGAAAGATCTTATCATTATCTACAAAAATGGTTCCTATCATTTTTGTCGGGAATTCGACAGGTTTCGAGATAACCGCAATCAAAAGTCCCCTCGTTCAGCCCCTGCTTTATCTTTATAGCAACACTGATTAGCTTGTAAACGGGTGGACAAATTGTTTCAGAACTCGGTCAAAAATTGATATTTTTCGATGATTCAAAGTTCATTACAATGGGAAAACCCATAGGTATCGATCCATGTGCCTTGAAGCCCGTTATTTCCTGTCAAGAACATTGAAAAAGAGGTCAAAGTTGCGTTTTCCCACTATTTTGGACCACTTTATAGTAATTCATTTATATTTTTTTTCTTTTAATAGTTTTTTATCCCATTTTTGTTTTAAGTGGGATCTTGAGATGTCTCGAATGATTTCAGAAATTTTTTCCAGTATCTTCCTGGCGTTTTAAAACAAAATTGATTTGTTTATTTGCATTTTTCATACGTTTTCGGAGTTCTAGAAATCTCTAAAACAAGCAGTAATTAAAAACTCATATTTCATTATATTGTTATTCAATGCACATCATTTAAAAAAAATACATTCGAAAAGTAGACACTCTAAGCTTTAAAATGGTGTGCATTGAATAACAATATAATGAAATATGAGTTTTTAACTACTGCTTGTTTCAGAGATTTCTAGAACTCCGAAAACGTATGAAAAATGCAAATAAACAAATCAATTTTGTTTTAAAACGCCAGGAAGATACTGGAAAAAAATTTCTGAGATCATTCGAGACATCTCAAGATCCCATTTAAAACAAAAATGGGATAAAAAACTATTAAAAGAAAAAAAATATGAATGAATTACTATAAAGTGGTCCAAAATAGTGGGAAAACGCAACTTTGAATCATCGAAAAATATCAATTTTTGACCGAGTTCTGAAACAATTTGTCCACCCGTTTACAAGCTAATCAGCATTGCTAAAGAGATAAAGCAGGGGCTAAACGAGGGGACTTTTAATTGCGGTTATCTCGAAACCTGTCGAATCCCCGACAAAAATGATAGGGACCATTTTTGTAGATAATGATAAGATCTTTCTTTTTTATCTAAACAAAAATTCTCTAATTTGCATATTGTGGAAGATATTGGCGGGAAACCAGTTTTAGGGTCCATTTTGGGCCCTTTCCGACGCAGCAGAGTTGGTAAAAGTTTTCGCCCTTGAAAGCAACCGTCAAGACCTAAGAATTGAGCCACAAAGGAAATCTGGACCGACTTAATAACAGCTTTGCATGTTTTCAGGTCTTCAGTTACTGGACTATTAAACAGATATACACTAGCTTATAATATACTAAATCTTGATTTCTCTTTTCAGTTTTTTAAGGGCATATTTTTGCCATGGATTTTAGCGTTTTCGAATCTCTTTTGTAGAGCTGTATAAACTGTGTTTTTTCTACATTATGTATGTAAGTTTCAACTTCTTTGTAGCTAATAAAGGATTTATTTACTTTTAATATTTCTTCCTGATCACTAGAGGACATTTTAAAAAAGAAATAAGATGTTCTAGTTTTTAGGATATCCCATTTATCACAACATAAACAAATGATTTTTGAGGTTAGGACAAAGGCTGGCGGAACCACAAAAACATATTTCATAAACGTCCGCAAATAAAACGCGCATGTGCGGACTTGCGGAGCCCTAGATAAATAGATTAGGTGTCCGCAACTTGCGGACCCGTAGACACGCCCATAAAATTAACAATTTTTGCGACCAAATATTTATCAAAAACATTTATTTTCAGAATCCCTCCAGCTACTATAAATCTCGAAGTATGGACCAGTCCCGAATTCGACACATTTGAAAAACAGTACGTCAAAGAAGTGGGCAGCATCGGCCCACCAGGCCGCTTCGGTTGGTTCATACCTCAAAAATACGACGGACCTATTAAGAAGTTCTACACCGATCGGTTCTTTTGGGACGATTCCATCCAGGAAGTTCACTGGTCGTTTTTTCTCGACGAGAGACTAGCCAGCAGCTTTAATTTGGACGCTGACGTCCTGAATATGTTGATCTACAAGAATATGTTTCATATGAAGGAAGAAAATGGGGAAAAAGAGTAAGTAGTAACTAAAATTATATTTTGAAAATCAAAATGTTGATAACTGCTGCATAAAGTTCTGTAATTAAAAACTTTATAAAGTGCGTAATACCTAGATGTCGACACTGTTTTAAACAAAAATATTAATAACAGGTAAGGACCAGGTGGAACATGTAATTATAACTAAAAGAAACAATACAATTTAAACACGAGATATTGAGAAGGGGTGAAATAGGGGTACAGTTTAGAGGTTGCAAGCGGTTTTTTGCGTTTTGCAGCGAAACGTGAGGTCCTAGCAAAAAGTGTTCAATACAAAAGTTGTAGATAATGAAAAATCTAAAACTTTTGTATATGACGTTTTTCAACATAACGTTAAATTTTCAGAGAAAATGGCAAAAATATGATTTTTAGTTTTTAATTTTTCAAGCGTAAAAATTATTTAATTTACAAGATATTTGGTGATACTGAAACTTTTTTAGTGTTAAAAAAGTATGAATTTTTTGATTTTCAAAAAACGAGTATTTTCCGAGATATTTACATTTTTTGAAAAAAATACTCTAAACTTTCACGGAAAACTTTATTAATGCTTTTTTCGAATTCAAGATTTTATATGGGCTCATTTAACCGTTAAAATGTCTACTTTCAGATGGTTTATACATGTTGATAGTTTATTTTTAATCAATAAAAATTGAGAAAAACTGAAAAAAGTCAGTTTTTGCATCAGGAAACTCTGAATAGTTTTAATTATTTATTTTATACGTCTTGAAACACGAATTGTACACAGATATAATAGCATTTCTTTTTTTGCGTCAGGAAACTCTGAATAGTTTTAATTATTTATTTTATACGACTTGAAACACGAATTGTACACAGATATAATAGCATTTCTTCACGATTTCTCGGGTTGCAATACTACTTCCGGTTTTTCTGGAAAAGAAAAAAAAATAGTAAAATTTTTATTGAGCAATACTCGTTTATCAAGCTTAGCTAGTATTTTTTTATAAAAACGATGCAAATCGAATCACAATTGCGGAAAATGGATCTCAACTTATAGTTGGTATTTATGGAAATAAAAAATTTAATATTTTTTTACCAACAAGCGATGAACAAATCTACTTCAAATTAGAAAAACTTTATCCGACTGAAGAAAGTGCTGCAAAACACTCTTACAGAGTTTATTACCAATTGCAAACTTGGCTAAGTTATTTCAAGAACGAGCCCGATAACAAAAGTGCAAAGCAATGGGGTTGGAACGAACGTGCAGGTACACTCGTGTGGAGACATTTATAATCATTACATTATAAATATCCCATTGGCTGCATCTCGCTGATAATTTGCAACGTAAAATTTTTTGGTAGGGATGTTTTCAAACAAGAAGAACTTTGAAAGTGTCAGTATTACTATACAGCAGTGGTCGCCAACCTCTCAATGTGTTGAGCTACTTTGTTAATTTTGGAATAAACAGCGAGCTACCCACACGGAAGCCACGTAACGCAACGTAAATGAAATAATCCACAGTTAATTTATCATTATATGTATTTATTTTACTATTTAACTGGTAATACATAATACATAGGTACTAATAATAAACTAATAACAAAATAACTAATATTACTAGTACGTACTTGTTCATAGCTACATTCCTACCTACCAAACGAAGGTGTTTGAATAATAAACACAAACTTTTATCCAGCCACAACGGCATGTCACGTAAGATTTAAAAATAGTTAATAATAACAACAAAAAAGTAACGCACTATCATGAACATAAACATTGAAAAATAAAAAAGCACGTTCAATGAGAAGGCTGACACTCAGACTCATCGATAATTTTTTTAATGTTTGCAGTATAATTTGATACAGCCATTCGAATACAATTATACAAATGTTCATCTGTAAGTCGATTGCGATATTTGTTCTTAATAAACATCATATTGGAAAAAGAAGATTCACACAAATAGGTTGAACTGAATAATGCTTTCACTTTCAAGGCAACACGACATAGAACTGAATATTTGTCTTTACTTACAATAGGCCAGATACATTTGGTACTTGAGACTAACGATTTTAAGGCTAAATCATTTTGAAACAACAAACTGCGCTACTAAAGCCATTTCGTTGAAATACTTGAAACGATTTTTAAAGTTATTCTTCAGGGTAGAAACTATTTCTACATGATATTTGCTGTCATAATGGATTTTGAGATATTTTTTCTGAAAGAATAGGAAAATGCTTGGCATCGCTGTTAATTAGGTTTTGTTCCCAAAACTCCAGCTTTTTGATAAATGATTTTATATCAGAAATCATTTCCGCTAGTTCTTTGTCTCTCCCCTGAAGCTGCAAATTAAGTTCGTTCAATTTCTCTGTAATGTCCACGAGAAAACCAAAATCTCTAAGCCAGATTGAATTTTCTAGTTCCTGAGTCGGTTCATCGCGTTGTTTGAAAAATTGAACTATGTCAGATAGGACATCATTAAAACGTTTCAGCACCCGTCCTCTACTTAACCATCGGACTTCAGTGTGAAGGAGTAGGTCCCCGTATTGACAGTCAACTTCATCGGCCAAGGTTTTGAATAATCTTCTTTGTAACGCTTGAGCTCTAATCTTGTTCACAATTTTTACCACCAGTTTCATAACGTTGTTTAGTTTCAGGAAATTTCCACATAATGCTTGCTGATGGATAATGCAGTGGTAACAGAGAAATTGCGGAAAAGTTTCATCTTTACGACATAACGCCACCAGACCCTTATCACAACCCACCATAGCTGAAGGGTCATCGGTTGTCAAGCCTACCATTTTCGATATTGGTATTTTCTCGGAAGAAATAATATTTTTTAAATGAGAAAACAACTCCTGTCCAGTAGTGTGTCCTTTCAGTGGAATAAACTTCAAAAGATCTTCTTTAATCGTAAAATCACTAAAAACTATCCTGACGAACACGGCCATCTGGGCAGTGTCAACGACATCTGTTGATTCATCCAGTTGAAGTGAAAAATAAACACAGTTATCTAAGTCAGTTCTTAACTGTAAAAAAAATTATCATTGCTCATTACTTCTACACGTCTCATCACTGTATTAGCAGAAAGTTTCATAGATTTTATAGCTGAAACTATCTCGTCTTTATTTCTAAAGTTGGCAAATAACGAATCAGCAGCTTCTAAAAACGCCTGTTTTATCATTTCCCGGTCTTCATAAGGTTTCTTTTTTTTGTGCAATTATCCGGGACACACGGTACGATGCTTCAGTTGCAGCCTTATTTTTGTCGACTGTTCTTAAAAATATTGATTGTTGTCCAATTAACTGCTTTTTTAACTGTTTCAGTTTCTCCTTTCTGGCGGCAGAATGTAGTGGGAATGATTTTTCAAAATTAGAATGTACAGTTTTATGATGTCTCTCAATATTTCCTTTTTTAGCAACGGCGACCAAAGTATTACATAACAAACACACATTTTTATCTTTAACTTCTGTAAAAAAGTATTGTTCTTCCCATTCCGAATGAAAGTGGTATGTCTTTACCTTCTTACAACTGCTTGCCATATTATTTTTTGTTGTTCTCTACTAACCCAACCGCTGGACGTTGGTTACGCGTTCAGTTTTAAACTAAGCGCAATGTCGCCGCGCCGTGCGTATTTATCCCGTTCAAAGCAATCCTGATCGTTCTCGAACACTAACGCGCTGGTCCGGCTGGTCGATTCTAGCCGATTCTAGCTTGATGGCGTCAGCGGCAGATCGCTCACCGCAACGTTGCCGCTGTTTATGTTTAATATTATGACAATTAGATTTTTTGTGGAATTTTCGGAAGCTTCTCTGATTTTTGCAGTTTGTTTTTTTTTTTTAATTAAAATCGTTGTGAGAGCTACCAGAATTGCCTCCGCGAGCTACCGGTAGCTCGCGATCGACAGGTTGGCGACCACTGCTATACAGAGTGAGCGATAATTGACTTTCATAGCCACTCTGGTTTTAAAAAGAAACTGAACTGCATATAAAATGCATACGCACTGCAACGAGCTTTTATTTTATAGACAATGAAATCCTTTTATTTTTAAACGTTACCTTGACAACCAGAAAAATGTTTCTCTTGCTGGGTTACCTACCCTACACGAAATTACACTGAACATGTTTTTGACATTTCAGAGGCGCTTCTATTTTAGGAAACTAATGTTGATAATGTGTGTCTTTATCAAAGCTAAAATAATAATAGGACTTGTTGCGTGTACTAAACAAATAAACAAATTCAAATTGTGACAAATACGCATAACTGGCATGGCTAACATTGCAAATTTGATTTTAGGCATTTTAATAATTCATGTCCATTACGTTTTGAAAATTCGGTGTATAATTTTATTACTGAATACCACACGTGCCTAAAATATTTTAAGAAATTTATACCTCTTCTTCGATTAGGATAATTTTCAAGATATTCGTGAGTAAAAAATTTCCCTAACTAATTTAGGCACTACCGGCATTATAAGTAATATTGTTTTGTTTCAGTTACGTTTGTCCGAACGGCATATGCATAAACGGTACGAGCATGTTCATTCCAAAACAGTGTATCAGAAGAAATTGCGCCGTCTTACTAGCACCGGAATTCAACGCGAGCGACTTCCTCATCCAACAAGTCACCGAAACGGGTCTATACGTCAACATTATGTGGTTGGGAAAGAACTTGAAATACGCTCTAAGACTTTTGGACGAGCATTACTCACATAAAGGAAAACAGGAAAGTTACATTTTTTTCCATTGGTATCCCGGAGATGTAGTACAGGACGAGACGAATTACATCACTGTCAAATTCAAGAATAACGAGTTTTATAATTTCACCAACAACATCGTCAACGGTTACAAGTACGAGATGCATCGATTGGTCAAAATAGTTTGGTCGCAGATGGAGAATGGCGCCAACCCACTGTTTCTAGGCGTCAGACAATTTAAGCTTCGCGAACAGGATTACGCGTACCTTTTGAATCTAGACAGACAAGGAAAGTACAACGTTAGCGAAATAGCGTGTCAGTGGATGAAGAACAACAAAAAGATCTGGTCGGCTTGGAACAACATGATCGCAACGACTCCCGTCATCAACATAGGAGGCATATTTCCTTCTCTCAAACCAGATTTGCCTTTCAACGGCGCTGGAATTTACAAAGCCGCTATATACGCCACCAATTATATCAACAAACAGAATAAACTAATTAAGGGATACCAGTTGAGGATGATCGGTATGGTTGGTGATTGCAAAGCTGAGACAGTAATGAGCAAATTTTTGGGACTCATTGTTACCAAAGATACCTATGATAATCTTGTGGGTAAGTGTCTCTTTAATAATAAAAAAAAATCCATTTTAGAATATATTCTAAAAATTATTATTTGTTATATTTTATATTTTTTGACAATTATACTTCATTTTTAAAATAGGAGAAGCCAACTGAATGTTCTGCTCCTAAACGATTTATCTACGATTTGACTTGGAACGCCAAAAGTTTTTGCTGCTTTTACAGTACCCATTCTTTTTCTCCTTACTGCTTGAACAGCCCTTTTCATATTCTCTGTATCCCACGTCTTTCTTTTCTTGGCGCTTAAATCGGAAGTTACCATAACTTTCTTGCGTGGCATTCTAAAACAAAACACAGAATGAAATAGAGATTGATACAAATATGGGCTAGCTCATATTGCTAACACAAGACCAGCCCATATTGCAAATAAGCGCAATTAAATTGATAATTTTACAAATATTTTATATATTTAATCTATGTATATTGAAAAACAAAAACTAAAAATACAAACCTTGTGCTCAAGTATGATCGTTAAAAATCGACTTTGACATCAAAAACAATTGAGTTACAGCCACAAATAAGCACCACTGAAAAATTTATAAACACTGTAAAATACCAATTCACACTAAACAAAACCACCTCTGAGAAAAGAAGAAACCAGTAATCACTAAGCGGTTACAAATGCTAACGCGAATATAATTGTCAATCAATAGATGGCTCTCGTTGTACTGGAAATATTACCGTAGCCCATAATCCAAGCCTAGCCCATAATTATACCCTTTTCTCTATGTATTTATATTACTGTAGATAGGTATACAAATTAAACTTTTATTAGGAATATATAATTGATTGGATATAGTATATTACATTACGAGTGTGGAAAGTGACATTTTTCACACGAGTGGGAAATATTGTCGCACGAGGCACAAGCCCAGTGCGACTATCACACGAGTGTGGAAAATCACTTTTCACACAAGTGATGTACAATATTTTTCCTACGACCACAAAATAATTTCATCAAAAATTGTAAAACCAGGTTATTATAATAATTAAAATGTATTTAAAAAAATAATCAACAATAATCGTATTTATTCAATTTTCATATTTTCTAAACAAAAAGAAAATAAAAATAAAAAAAAAATTAAAAAAATACGAAAAAAATACGAAAAAAAATTCTGGCCTCGCCAGGATTTGAACGCGGTCGCTCGCCAGGTCTCAAATGGCAAAGTTGATAAGTTTGACGTTCTAACCAAATGAGCTAATAGGCCCTTGCGTCAATTGAATGATCTAATCGGTTATGTGTTTGACCCACATACTCTGATTTTTCTGAGTGCCTTTTAAAAGGAGATAGAAAACTCCGCCATTTTGATCTCTTATTACGTGTTGCCTATATCTTGGCGCAATATTTTTAATAGGTGCGTTTTAATCATCCGCTTCTGCTTCGGAAGTGACGGTTTTCTTGTTTTAATCTGACAGGTTAAAACGACTAAACCGACAATTTCGGAAGCAGAAGCGGGTGATTAAAACGCACCTGATATTTTGCTTGCTGCTGTCAGTGTCAGTAAATATTATTTTTGGAGTCACAATATATTGCTAAAGAATCAGTTAGCTCACTCGGACCAGTTGAATGTTCTAAAATAACATCCACTCCAGGGATACAAATTCAGGATGCGCAGAAGACTGCTGTTTGAATATAGGCGGTTGTCATAATTGTATTATCCGAGTTGCGCAGTGTATAAACGGGAACATTGAGATCAAAAGTGCCGACGCAGAGTGAGCGATCTAATTCTTTAGCTATAAACTGTGGCATAGAAATCAAAATGGCTGCGCCCTATGTTGGGCGTGTCGGACCTCTTTCTTGAACCGTATAGTATGTGGTTTAACCAGAATAAAGAGCAAACATATCTTAGTTATTTTAAAATTATTTTAATAATAATTGTTAAAGATAAATATCTAGGATCTAATTTACAATTTGAATAATTTAACAATCATATCGATTTTAATATTAATATGGACATTACATAGATCAAAATAGAAATGATCTGTTTGACATTTTATGACAGCTGCTGTGGAAAGTAGCATATTCGTACACGGGCGGAAAGTAAATTCTTATTTATACGCGTGTGATATAGGGTACTTTCCATAGGACTATATAGTGTGATATGTGTCACTTTCCTAAGTGGTCGTAGGAAAAATAGATTTGTCTTTATGCATACATTTCGGATTCCACTTGTATCCAGAGTCATTGTGTTAGTGATCCCTTGTTTATATGAACGCTTTTTAAGTGGCAATTTTATTCATTCATTGTTCTTGACTGCTTGCGAAATACTACTGACAGTAGAAATATTTAGGGTTGCTGCAACACGCTAAAACGGATAATAAATCAATTTCATATTTACTTCTCATACAATACTTTTACAGTAGTTGAAGGTAATTAATAGTGATCCATCATTATATCAGACTCTCATTCAAAATACTATATAATTTTGCATTTTGTATGCAGAAATAAAAGAAAAATAATCAGCATTAACTTATGAAAATCAACTGGTAAACATAACCTAAAACCTTAAACAGTGAATTGTTTTAAAAAGCTAAGGCAACACAGCAACAAGGTATACCAACTGCCGTATTGACATTTCGTCTATATAAATACGAGTTTCATTGGCGTACAGAATATCAAAATTATTTAATATAAAGTATGGTTTTTGGGATACTAATCATGTAATAATATTAATATAAATTTGATATTATCAAGAATAGGACGTGTATAAGCTAATTAATTGAAATAATTCTAAAATTATCAAAATAATCACCATTACATTTTTCGGTTTTTTAGTAATATGACTACATTCATGAATGCTCGTACATTTTCGTGATATTTTCGGATTATTAGCTTATTTAGGGAAATTTTAATTAGTTGGTAGTACTATGACGAATGGCCGACGTCATTGCTGACGTGTATCGGGATTTGTATTAAAAATACTTTTTCTACTCCCATGTCAGTAAACGTTAAAAATCGCACTATCAACATTCCTTGTAAATGACATTTAACAATAACATGCACGTAATGAGATCTCATAACATACACGTGCGTATTGATAAGAAAACTTAAATTTCTTGGTTTAATCAAATTGCAATTAAATTTTTGTCTACGTAAGACTTTATGTGGTCTATTTACATAAATTTAGTCATTTAAAAAACATAAAAACTTTTAGCATTAGCGAGATACATTTTGGATTAAAAGAGTGATGCCCCTAAATGTCGGCAATATATTATACAATATTTCAAAAAATATGTCGTGTTTTCTTAGAATGCTATGGAAATGAACGTCATGTCATTTATATTGTCAATTTTTGTAACAAAATATGATTGTATCCCAACATTTTCTCAACTTTACCTGCAATTGTGTTTGTTAGCAGTGAAAGTGATGAAATTATGAGTACTGCACCGGAAATTTTAGAAAAAGCTCAAGCTGCCACACATAATTTGTTACCGCTAAAATCCAAAGAAAGGTATGAAATTACCTATTGAAAATTTATGGATTGGCGACACAAGCATAACGTTAAATCCTTTTTTGAGAATGTTTTAAGTGGGCGTAGAAAAAGTATAGTACGTTACACGAGTTGTAAGCCCATTACGCACTCGTGTAATTTAGGCACTCGCCGCGGCGCGGCTTCGTGCGTAACATTTTTCAGTTCGCGCGTAATGGGTTACTTACAACTCTTACGTAATATACTAATAACTATCTATATCATTGACCATGTCAAATCATGAGGCCCATAAGGTTGCCATATCATAATCTATCATTATTATTATTATTATTATTATTATTACCCACAGGCAGCCATTTTGTTTGGAATTCCTAAATTGTGTGATTTAGATTTTGCATCATAATTGTTCGTCGCATTTAAATTTGACAGTTCTTAAAAATTATTATGAAATAAATTTTCAAAAATGCCCCAACATTTAATTAAGGCTCAAAAGTCGAGGGCTTGTGACGTTAAAATTGCCAAGTGTCACCAACACGATCATTGCCTCGTAATTATTTAGTGCAGGGCATAGTGGCGCATTCGTTTGCAAAATTGTTTTAATTCGTATTTTTTTTTTTAAATGTCCTGAAGTCTTTCCTGATTATAAAAGTGTAAGATGACACTCGATATTTGTTGATGTTATTGTTTAAACAACGAAAACTTAATTAAGCCCGAAAAAATGCATTTTTTGCAATGAATTAAAAAAGTCCTTACGCCCATCATCGTATCTTTAACCCTTTAATTGTTATGAATTTTTTAAAATCCGAAATTGACGAAAATTCTAATTTTCTTGAATTAAATAATATACCTTAACATTTAAAATGCTATAATTTTAAATTTTTTACCAAATATTCAAACTATAATAAACAAAATAACCTAAATAAATTTTAAAAATTTTGTTTATGTTTTTTTACGTTATAACAATATGCTTCCTACGCGCGTGTACTTTTAGAGAGAAGTACTTCTATCTCTCTTCCAACTCAATGTATAAGATGGGTAAGAGAAAGCCCGATGACGCGCTGAATCAATTTTTTTCTGTTTTTCAGAGGTAATAAATAGGTTTAAAAAAATTATTATTAACATTTTTCATAACACTTTGTTATATTTGCCGATTAATAGTTTTGTATCATGTGATTTTTTTTTACTTTTTTAGATACTTTTGATAACTTTTTTATTTATTAAAGTTAACAGAAACATTTATTTTCAACATTTATTTTTATTCATGAAAAAATTATTGTCAGATACTGCCTGAGAAGTAAACTCTTCTTCAACTTTTTTTTTTTTTTCAATACGATAAAAAGACCAAATGCACTTGTCGTGATCCGTGAAAAATGTCTACCTGTTACAATGAACATAGTAGGCTTACTGGGGTCATAAAATTTTATAATTTCAAAAATAAATGCTATAAATATTACATTTTTTTGACTTTCAATCTTTTGCACTATGAATACAAATAGGTAAAGGGACTTATTTCGTATTTTGAAAAAATTATACGTTTAACTCTTCTTCTATTTTTTTCCTGTCATAAACAATTTTTACAACCTTCCAAATAGAAAATTCAACCCTACCTTAGAATTTTTGGCTCGTTTTGAAAATTATTTTTCAATTGTTAATCAATCTTGCTCGATTCTACATCTACTGGTTTACTTTGCAGTCGTGTAATTTTCTGAGTAATAATGTCGTTCTCTTTAATTCCAAAAAAAAAAAATTAAATTATCTGACGACAAAAAGTGTTTATTTTGTGATCATGGCGAGGCGTTAGTGAAGTGTCCAAAACCTGATACATATTTAAAATTAAAAATGCAACTCTTCGTCGAAATGATAACGTGACTGTGCGATTTAATTTGTTGTTTAATGAAAATACTAGTGAACAATCTTTTTCGTGGCATCGTGGCGCGTAGGAAGCATATTGTTATAACGTAAAAAAAAAACATAACAAACAAAATTTTAAAAGAATATTTAGGTAATTTTGTTTATTATAGTTTGAATATTCGGTAAAAAATTTAAAATTATAGCATTTTAAATTTTAAGGTATATTATTTAATTCAAGAAAATTAGAATTTTCGTCAATTTCGGATTTAAAAAAATTCATAACAATTAAAGGGTGAAAGATACGATGATGGGCGTAAGGACTTTTTTATTCGAAATATCCTAAAGAATATAAAAAAAAATAATTCATTGCAAAAAATGCATTTTTTCAACAAATATCGAGTGTCATCTTACACTTTTATAATCAGGAAAGCCTTCTGGACATTAAAAAAAAAATTACGAATTAAAACAATTTTGCAAACGAATGCGCCAGTATGCTCTGGTCTAATTACTAACAAGGTGCGAATTACAAAAATACCTTTCTGTCTAGGGGTTCTCGGTCCCGCTTGCTCAGAAACCATCGAACCCATAGCAGCGGTGTCCAAAGAGTATCGCGTGTTGACGGTTTCCTATTCCGCTGAAGGAGTCAGTTTCTCGGACCGAAGCAAATATCCGTATTTCTTCAGAACCATCGGCGAAAATCACCATTACAAGCACGTCTACTTGTCGCTGTTCAAAGAGTTTCGCTGGAAGAGAGTCGCCGCGCTTACAGAGGACGGTCAGAAATACACTGAGTACATTTCATTGATGAGCGACGATTTGGAAAAGAACAACATCAGTTTCATTGCCAATAAAAAGTTTCCCAGAGGAAGGAACACGAACGATATGCGAAATGTAAGTTTTTTATTTTTTTTTAATATCGAAATTTGTCAGAAAAAACTTTTATTTGGCTTAAACAAATTTTATGCTTCAATTTTTGTTTGAAATTTCATTTTAGCGTGTCCAAACATATCTTAATTTTAAATTGTGACAATAGATTTATTTTTCAATTGAAGCTACAAATATTTTATTTTAAAAATGACAGCCATTTTTAACTGTTCATCTGAAATAAAAATTTTTGTGCACAGCCCGGTACAATATGTAAAAATAGTATCAAACTGTTTAATCAAATTACCTTCTATATATCATAATTTCATATCATATCTTAAACCAGTCCTGGCTTCGGTATCAAGACAATAATTACATCACGTCTAAAAATATAACACATCCGTTAAACAGTTGTTCATAAAAATATCACCCCAATTTTGGCCTTATTACTGTTTTCTTCTAATATCCTTATTTTAAAACTAACTTTAAATGAATTTGAGCTCAAATATTTTATCTTTCTTTCCCATATCTTTCTTTTTTTTTCCGGGGGCGGATTGGGATCCGTCCTCTACCTGAGCCGATTTTTTCCTTTTTTTTTTGTTTCTGGCTAGGGTCATCGTCATCTCTCTTAAAGCTTTCCCCTTATCAATTCCGATTTTTTCAATCTGGTTAATCCATTTCCTTATTGCCTTTCAAAACCGTCTTCATTACTTGGTGACCTTTCTTCCTCTCTATGCTTGCTTTATTCTCTTCTTGGCTTGGCTAAATATTTTTATCTAGTTGCTCCAGTGTGTATATTTCCTCTTTCATATTATATTGTCATGATATTGATAAGCGTCCTATATTATAAATAATATTAAATTGTTAGAACATTATTTATATGGCTAGTGAATAATATCACCCAGTATACCAAAAGTGTTTTTTGTTTTCTATGTAGAAATGTCGTCTGAAGCTGGTCTGAAGGATGAAATTTGGTAACTTTATTTTGATTGATGGACAGATATAATAATACATGAAATTGATCACATTTTGAATTTGATCAAAATCAAAAACTGGATAATGTTCCTTAATATATGGCCAATCCAGTATAAATAATCTCTTGTATTTAATAATATACCGGGTGTTCAAATTAAAGTTAAATACCGCCGAAAATATGCATTTTAGAAAAAAAGTTTCGGACAAAAGTTTTATAGTTTTTTGGGGGAAACATTTTGGCAAAATTCATTTTTTTATAGCTGATATGGCCATATCGAGGTGGGCTTTGTTTTTTAAATTGGAACCCCATGTTTTTTATACATATTCTTAAAGTACATAAAAAGATAAGAAACTTAAAAATTTTGCTGGGCGAAAAAAAGTTTTCCATATTATGGTTAGCTATAAAAAACGATTTCAACCAAAATTTTTTCCCAACAAAACTATAAAACTTTCGTCTAAAACGTTTTTTTTTATATAACGCGGTATTTAGCTATAACACTTTAATTTGAACACCCGGTATATTAGATTTGATTGTGTAGTATGTGATGTCATTTAAATTAAGCGTATTCATTGGTTTCCAAGGGTTTCGCATATCTTCAGTAGGGCTTATCTCTTGGCTAGGAGAGGTTTTTTCCTCCTACTTTTGCAGAAAAACCAGAGTTTAGTCCTAAATAGTCCAGTAACTGAAGACCTGAAAATATGCAAAGCTGTCATTAAGTCGGTCCAGATTTCCTTTGTGGCTCAATTCTTAGGACTTGACGGTTGCTTTCAAGGGCGAAAACTTTTACCAACTCTGCTGCGTCGGAAAGGGCCCAAAATGAACCCTAAAACTGGTTTCCCGCCAATATCTTCCACAATATGCAAATTAGAGAATTTTTGTTTAGATAAAAAAGAAAGATCTTATCATTATCTACAAAAATGGTTTCTATCATTTTTGTCGGGAATTCGACAGGTTTCGAGATAACTGCAATCAAAAGTCCCCTCGTTCAGCCCCTGCTTTATCTCTATAGCAACGCTGATTAGCTTGTAAACGGGTGGACAAATTGTTTCAGAACTCGGTCAAAAATTGATATGTTTCGATGATTCAAAGTTCATTACAATGGGAAAACCCATAGGTATCGATCCATGTGCCTTGAAGCCCGTTATTTCCTGTCAAGAACATTGAAAAAGAGGTCAAAGTTGCGTTTTCCCACTATTTTGGACCACTTTATAGTAATTCATTTATATATTTTTTGTTTTAATAGTTTTTTATCCCATTTTTGTTTTAAATGGGATCTTGAGATGTCTCGAATGATCTCAGAAATTTTTTTCTGTATCTTCCTGGCGTTTTAAAACAAAATTGATTTGTTTATTTGCATTTTTCATACGTTTTTGGAATTCTAGAAATCTTTGAAACAAGCAGTAATTAAAAACTCATATTTCATTATATTGTTATTCAATGCACACCATTTTAAAGCTTAGAGTGTCTACTTTTCGAATGTATTTTTTTAAAATGGTGTGCACTGAATAACAATATAATGAAATATGAGTTTTTAATTACTGCTTGTTTCAGAGATTTCTAGAACTCCGAAAACGTATGAAAAATGCAAATAAACAAATCAATTTCGTTTTAAAACGCCAGGAAGATACTGGAAAAAAATTTCTGAAATCATTCGAGACATCTCAAGATTCCACTTAAAACAAAAATGGGATAAAAAACTATTAAAAGAAAAAAAATATAAATGAATTACTATAAAGTGGTCCAAAATAGTGGGAAAACGCAATATTTACCCCCTTTTTCAATGTTCTTGACAGGAAATAACGGGCTTCAAGGCACATGGATCGATACCTATGGGTTTTTCCATTTTAATGAACTTTGAATCATCGAAAAATATCAATTTTTGACCGAGTTCTGAAACAATTTGTCCACCCGTTTACAAGCTAATCAGCATTGCTATAGAGATAAAGCAGGGGCTGAACGAGTTTTGATTGCGTTTATCTCGAAACCTGTCGAATTCCCGACAAAAATGATAGGAATCATTTTTGTAGATAATGATAAGATCTTTCTTTTTTATCTAAACAAAAATTCTCTAATTCGCATATTGTGGAAGATATTGGCGGGAAACCAGTTTTAAGGTCCATTTTGGGCCCTTTCCGACGCAGCAGAGTTGGTAAAAGTTTTCGCCCTTGAAAGCAACCGTCAAGACCTAAGAGTTGAGCTACAACAGAAATCTGGACCGACTTAATGACAGGTTGGTCCCTTCAGTTACTGAACTAAAAAGTCCTATCATTGTTTTGCTATTTTAAGTATTAATGTTGCAATTTAAATAATCAAAATAAAGTTAATTTGTAAACAGTAGTTATAGAGGTATTATTTACCTTGTATGTGCAAAAAATTGCACAAGTGTGTAAGCTGAAACGAGTAAAGCTGTACATTCAGTTAATGCACTAGAAACTTTGGCAAATATTGGGAAGAGGCCCTTTTCTTAAAAATACAATTTTTTCACAAAACTTACATTTTAGGCTTTAGGAAGGAGAGTACTTTTCAAATATACCACCAGAAATCATAAATGTCCCATTTAGACTTTAAGCTTCTTTTAGTACCTATATCTATTTTTTGCCTTCTCTTAACAGTTCCAGCCATAGCGGTCTACTACTCTTTTCTGCATTTCTTGCTTATTCTTCGCATTTGTTATTATTTTTGTTTCATTATCTATTCGTATCTTTATTTTACGAAAATCTGTTTCATTTTATTGTTTACAAATTTCATTAATGTCATTCTCTACCGTCTCTATTCCATGTATTACGAGATTATTCTTCTTGGTATCTCTAGTTTAGTTGTTTTTTCAAGAATTCACAACCCCTTATTTCGCACTTTGCTCATAAGATTGTTTGAAGTCAAAGCGAGAAAAAGGATAATATGTCTAAAAGTTGCAATCAGCGAAATGAGATTGTCATTGGACGGCGGCTAATAAGACCAATAAGAACTGCATATTAAAAACGTAGCTTTCTGTTTTAAAATAGTATTAAAAAGATTATTCTTAAATCAACTATCGTCGAATCCTATCCCGCACCGCCACTAAGTAGGACAATATGGAGCAAGACTAAATAGCGTATAGTCAAAATAGCGCTGGTACAAAATATCGCAGGACAAAATACATCTGTAACAAAAAGGCAGAAGAGGAAATAGTGCGGTGAAAAGTAGCTACAAACAGCGCTTTTTTTATTTATAATTATTAAATTAAAAAAAATAACTAATTTATCTAGCCTGTGCCATCGTGGGTTGCTTTTCATTTATACATTAAAACATGAGAAAAATTTTAGAAACTTGACCAATGTACCTAACCTGTGCAAACTAGAGCGCTAATTTTTCCTGAATATTTAGACCCAGCGCTTTTTTAAACTTCTCGCTATTTGATCATCACTGTATTACGCCTTAACGCCAATTTTTCCGACCATAATTTTTCTGATCGCTTTTTGTGAATGCGCTGATAAAAGGCGATGTTTCTTTTGCGCTATTCCATCACTCGCTATAATGTCTTGAGCTATTCAGTGGTGGTGCCGTCACAACATGTTTAGACTAGAATCATTTTTTTATCTCAGTTTTGTAACCATTTAAAAACTATGCACCAAAAGCATTCGTTGATCAATTTTTAATTTATTCCTCTTTAATATTAATGTTATTTAATTTATTTGTGTGAAATAAAATTTTTGTCCACGACCACTTAATAATAAATCAATATTCTACCTCCTCATATCATACCCATATATCACGGAGTGAATTATGATAATTCACGCTTTTGTAATTCTGGCATATTCCGGTAGATAACTAAAGATAGGCGATACTTTTCATAACGATATATTCTAGATCGAAAAATCAAAAAATCGATAAAACAAAAAATCGAAAAATTGAAAAATCGAAAAATTGAAAAATCGAAAGTCGAAAAATCGAAAAATTGAAAAGTGGAAAAAACAACAGTTAGTTACCTATGTTTAATAAAAACTTTCCATTCTACACTTAACTTTTATTTAATAAAGAAACCATAACGGTCGTGGACAAAGTATAGTATTAG